CAGCCCCTTAACAGTGCAACCAGAGTGATCTTTCTAACGCGCAAATCAAGTTGTGTCCCTCTCTTGCTTAAAATCCTCCAGTGATTAAAAAAAAAAAAATTAGCCAGGTGTGGTGGGGCGCACCTGTAGTCCCAGCAACTCGGGAGGCTGAGGCAAGAGGATCACTCGAGCCCAGGAGTTTGAGGTTGCTGTGAGCTATGAGGACACCATTGTACTCTAACCTGGGCAACAGAGCCAGACCCTGTCTCAAAAAAAAAAAACAAAAAAACCCTCCAGTGCTTCCCCGTCACTTGTAAATCTGAACTCCTGTGCATAGCCTGAGTGTTTTCATAATCCAGCCCTTGCCTGTCTCTCCAGACTCACCTCTGACACCTTAGTGCCTCCCACCTCACACTTCACAATCACTGACTTGCCTTTAGTTCTGCGCACACAATTCTGCCTCTTACATACATCTCTTTCCTCAAGCTGCCTTCTCTTTGAATGGCCTTTCCTTTTTTTTTTTTTGAGACAAGAGTCTCACTCTGTTGCCCGGGCTAGAGTGCCGTGGTGTCAGCCTAGCTCACAACAACCTCTAACTCCTGGGCTCAAGCCATCCTCCTGCCTCAGCCTCCCGGGTAGCTGGGACTACAGGCACGCACCACCATGCCCGGCTAATTTTTTCTATATATTTTTAGTTGTCCAGCTAATTTCTTTCTATTTTTTACTAGAGATGGGGTCTTACTCTTGCTCAGGCTGGTCTTGAACTCCTGACCTTGAGTGATCCTCCTGCCTCGGCCTCGCAGAGTGCTAGGATTACAGGCGTGAGCCACCACGCCCAGCCTGAATGGCCTTTCTGACCGTTGCCTGCCTACTAACCTGCTCACCCTACAGCAGAACCTTCCCCTAGTCCACCCACCCCACCAAATGCCATGTAAGGTGTCCCTACCCAGGGCACCCGCAAGACCCTGCACGTAGCAAGTTGGACATTATTTTTACATGTTCATCTCCCCAAACAGACTTGCCCTTGAGACAGGGTCTCTGTTTCGTTTAGTTTTTTTTTTTTTTTTTTCCCTAGTTTAAGTGCTTAGCATAGAGTTAAGTGCTCAAAATGTGTTGAATGAAGACTCAGTTCCCAAGTCTCCAATGTGGCCACCATACCGGGCGCATGACAACGTGCCAGACCTTCTGCTAAGCCACTTATGTACATTCTTTCATTTGTTCCTACAGCTTCCCTGTGAGAGAGTCACTATTGTTTTCCCCATTTCTTCAGTGGGGCTTTAGGGAGAGACAAAGTAAGTTGTCCAAGTCCACACAGGAAGAAAAGAGTGGAACCTCATCTGCTCTAGTCAGGACGCCAAGTCCAGTGTCAAGCGTGTGCTATCAAGAGTGTGCAGAGACTGCTAGCTATCCACACCTTCTGTTTGCTCCTTACTTAGTCTTTTGTAGCAGAACCCCAATTTTATTTGGGATGGCAGTGTGCCCAGTTAACAGAACACATTTTCAGCCTCCTTTACAGCTTCGTGTGTCATGTGACTCAGTCCTTTGGGATATCCAGAAGTCTCCTTCAAATGAAATGTGGACCAGGTGACTGGAGCTACAGCAGCCATCTTGGGCCATGAGGCAATCTTGAGGATGGAAGCCAGGATGGAAAATGGTGGTGTGGGAAGAAAGGAACATGGGGTCCTGATAAGACTGTGGGTCCTATCAGTCATGCTCTGGCTACCTCTAGACTTTTTTTTGTTTTGTTTTTAATGTGATGGTAAAATAAACTATCTTGTTAAGCCACAGTAGTAGGGCTCTGTTAATATTGCAGCCAAACCTGACACATGGAGCCAGGTTGAACCTTACCCCTTTTGAGCCCAGGGGGATGACTCAGAAAAGAAGCAGCCAGCATGGGTGATATAAAGTGTTTCTTTATTTGAATGTCATTCCACCTGCACTGAAGCTCAAACTCAGCAGCAGCAGAAGGGGTCAGGACCAAAATAAATGTCGGACAATGAACACCGAGGACACATTCAGACAGAACTTACTAACGGGGTGTGGACAACACCGAGCTATCCTAACGTCACACAGCACAGGCCCTCAGGTCTGCCAGTCAGAGCTCTAGGAAAGGACTGTGCTCCCTGTTTCCTGTTCAGGAAACTCCAGTCCCACCAAAGCTCACCGTGAGCCACACAGGGGCCTGTAGAAGTTTCTTGTGCTGGGAAGATCCCAGCTTCTCCAAAGAGAGGGCTTCCCTTTCTCAGTTCACACTGGAAGCTGGAGAAGGGTGGTCCCCCCACACCCAAGCAGGACTCAAAAGGCCAGGGACTCTTTCCTTACACAACCGCCGTGTCCAAAAGCTCTCATCTTCTTGGCAAGTCTAGGCCTGAAAAGGATCTTGATCCTACCCACAATCCTCACCTCCTCGGGAAAGCAGTTTTCCTGCGCAGGTACTTGCCCTCAGAGAGGAAGTTTTCACATCCCTGAGGCTCAGAAGGACTTGACTGACCAGCACTGTGGGCCAGAGACTGAACCACCTCTAGGTTGTAGCTGCTTTGGCCTCTCCTGAGTCCCCAGAGCAGGACAGAAAAGTTGGTAGTGCCAGAGCCGCCTGACCCAGTCGCAGCCGGGGGAGGACTTCTTTCAGGGACCTAAAGCCAGAAGGCTCTAGCTTAAAGCCCAAGAAGCCTTCCTGGGGTGAGAAACAGACTGGCGATCTCCTCTGCTTGTCTGCGCCTGAAGGCTAAAGCCTCCTAAAGGCAAACCACAAAGCTCCCCTTCCCATGACGCCTTCATTGCCCCCGGGGAGCCATTGGGGCCTGAAGCATCTGCCACTGGCTCTGTTCCCACCTCTGAGGAGCCCTCAGGGCCAGGGCCATGATTTGGCCTTCACTCCAACCTCCATGCCACCGTGTCACCTGGGACTCACTCAGACTTCAGCCCACCCACCTCTGCTTTCCTACGCCCAAACTCCCAGGTGATCTCAGGCCGCCCGTTGCTCCGCTGGGGCAGCAGCTGGCTGGGTGGACGCTGGCGTGGAAATGTCAGGCTGCTGCCCCCAGAGTGGCCCCTTCTCTACACCTGGCGCCCCCCTCCGCCCGCTGCGGTGGCCCCACCCCAGCCCTCCACAAAAACACGGGGCCTGGGCTGACGGTGCCCTGGACCTCCAGCCTCTTGGCCTCTGAAGGGGTCAGTTCTGACCTCTCCACCAGGGAACAGGGGTCTGGAGGCCCCCTTGGGTGGCAGGTGTCCTTGGGGAAACAAGCCTTCCTCTCACCCAGAGCCCAGCGCTCTGTCTCCTTCCTCCTCCTCCTTCCCTTTTCGCTTTCCCTGCATCTCAGCCAGTGCCCTCAACTCATCTCTCCATTTGCCTCTCGTCCTACCCAGTCCTTGGTCCTTCTTTCCATCCATCTACCCCACCCCCGGCTCTCTCTGCTCCCCTCTCTCCATCTCTCCTTTCTCTCCGCTGACCTGTCTTCCTCCATCCCTCCTCCTCGCGCTAGCTCCGTAGCCCTCGGCTCCCTCCACCTGTCTCCATTCTCCCCGCCCCTCACCCCTCCTCTTTCCCCACGGCGGCGCCGCCACGGCCCCCGCACTGGGGTCTGCGTCTCCGCCGACGCCCGCCTGCCCCCCACGAGGCTGCCCTCGCCCTCCGGGTTAACTCGGATCCCCGCTGTCCAGGCCGCCCGCTGGGGAGGCCCGGCTGCGTGGCCGGGGGCGGGAGGCAGGGCGCCACGGGGGAGGGCTTGGCCGGGCCGGAGCGGGGGCGCAGGCGCTTGCCCAGGAGTGAGTGGAGGCGGCGGGGCAGGACTCCTACCGGGCCCCGGCGTCTGACTCCGGGAAGGGTCCGGGTGGGGGAGACGGGTGGAGGACTTCTGGGGTCTCTCTCGGAAACCGTAACTCTCAGGTCCGAGTCCTATGGAAAGGAACACAAGGTACGCCAGGCTCGCCAGCGGCTTCCCTGTCCTGCCGCTGAGACCCGAGGGACACAACGCCAGCGGCGCGCGTCCCCGCGGAGCCTGCAGGGGGCGCCACGCTCCTTCCCCGGCCCGGGCCGCGCGGAGGGGGCGCGCTAGACGAAGCGGCTCTGCCGCCCCTCACCCAGGCCCCAGGGTAGGGACTTCCACGGCTCGATGGCTCTGCCGCCAGATCCACAAGGAAATGAGGGGTGTTCAGAAAAACACCTGGAGTCTCCCTCACTTGCCCCTTGCCAAGGGGGAGGGAGATGCCCCCACAGTGGGAGGAGGGGAGGAGAGAAGACCTCACCTGCCCTCCCCCGACACACACACACACACACACACACGCACGCACGCACGCACGCGCACGCGCACACGCGCACACACTCATGCCTCGGCTCCAAGCACTGACCGTCAGGTGCAGACCCTGGGCATATGGCAAGGCGAGAGGTGGGCAAGGAGGAGGAAGAGGCAGGGACAGGGTAACAAGGCCTGGGCGTGGGGACAAGGGTACCCTGTTCAGAGGTGACCTGCAAGTTCAAGTTATGCAGAAAAGTATCAAAGAGGCAAGACAGTCTCTGCCCTTGGCAGATGCCGGGCGTGTGGGGCCATGGGAAGGGGCAGAAGGGGTGATGCATCCCCTGATTCCCCACCTTTGGGACCCCCTCCACACCCCCAACCCTGACAACAGGGCCAACAAGTCTGTGCTGTACAAAACAGGCCAGGGTCAAGGGTCCAGTCACTGGAGAGACATCCCAGCGGAGAGGAGGCCAGGCTGGCCAGGGCTAAGCAGTTCCAAGCTCCAGCTGCCCCCGCCGCTGCACCAGAGCCTGAAAGTCTTTTCTCAGACCCTGGGTGGGTCAGGGCCCCAGTCTGCAGCTGACCGGGAGGCCCCGTGCTTTCTCCCCTCAGTGCAGCTCAGAGTCCTTTGGGAGAGCTGAGAGCAGGCTGGAAAACAGGGGCAGAGAAGGCCCCGGGGAGACTGGTGGCACCTGGAGCTTTGTGGCAGATGTGGTGGAACCATCATCGGCAAAAAAAGTAGGAAAGAGTCGGGCCCATCCTGGGGCAGTAGCTAGAATAAATTTCTGGAGGAGGCAGGAACCAGAGGAGGCCAAGGATACAGCCAGGCAGCAGCCCTCCAGACCCAGGGGCTGGGAACCACAGGCTCCTCCCTCCCCTGGGGACGTGCAGGGGCCCCCCAGGCCAGTCTGGAGGGCAAAGAAGCCCAGCGGACCAGGGCAAAATGGGCTCCCAATTGAGGGAGTAGCCAGAATCAGGCTCTCCCAGGGGCTGGAGGGCCTCTCCCCTCCCCGAGGCTGCATCCCAGCCCCATCCTCTCTTCAAAGCCTGGAGCTGGCAGGCCGGTAGCAGGTGAGAAGTCAGTCTGAGATCAAGGTCTTCCCTCGGATCTTGAATGGAGGAGATGAGAGGGCAGGAAACAGGACAAGCTGAGGTCAGGCCAATTCCTGGGCTGTGGTCCTGGCCTTCAGGGTCCCTGTGAGTGAGCCACGGGGCAGGGGAGGACTCCCCATCCAGAGACATCACCCCCTGGCCGCAACACAGAGCTTACTGTAGAGCCCACAAAATCTAAGAGAGAGAGAGAATTGGAGAAAGTCAGAGACCTCCGGGGCATCAGGGCTCCCTTTGGACTTCCCCAGGGGAAAAGTGGGCAGAAGTGGGAGCTGCACAGGCTCAGAAATCCCAACCAAGCCTCTGCCCCTCAGGGTGGTCTTGAGCAAGCCATTCCACCTCTCTGAGCCCCAATGTCCTAATCTGTAAAATGGGGACGACCACTTCACGGGGAAACTCTGAAGAGTCAAAAAGAGACAAATCATGTCAGCCACTGACTTGGTACAGTGTCGGCACATAGTATATGCTGCAAATGGTACCAGTCTGTTTTATTATTTTTGTTCCAGAGGTCTTTGGCTCCAAACTGAACTGCCCAGCTCACTCATCTTGAATCCCCAGGGCAGGAAGGCAGAGTGAGGCTCCCTTACATCGCCTTTTATTTCTCTCCTGCTCTATAAGTGAGCTTTAATGACATCACCTTTTAACACTGAGTTGTTAGGTGGCTGTAGGGAGAGACGGAAGGGCGCTGAGTGGGCGGCACCTCACAGCAGTCACATCCCCCAGCCTTCTTGAGAAAGGCCACATAGCAGTCTTAGTCTTGCACTTCCGGAAGCTGCCACCAGAGGGCAGGCGCTGTCCTCACACCAAGACCACAGAAACCCACGGGTCTGCGGGGCTCTGTCAGATGGGGCCTCTGAGTGTAGGTTAGCAGACCAGCATCCCAGGGGGGCCAGAAAGGGGCAGGAAATCTCTGGCCTCACGAGGCTAAGACTGGCAGCATGACAGTGAGCAGGAGCTTGGGCTTTGGACTTGGACTTGGCTTCAAATCCTGCTTACATCACCTTGGGGAAGTTCCTGGAGCTCTCTGAACCTGGACTTTCTTTCTCATTTGTAAAATGTGGTCTCAGTGCCTGCCTGGAGGGGAGTTGGGAGGACTGACAACTTTGAGCATTCACCATGTGCGAGACCAAGCTTGCCACGTTAACAGGCACATGACAGCCCTGGGAGGTGGTATTATTCTCGCCAGCTTCATTTCAGCAAGTGCAGGAAACTGAAGCTGAAGGTTAAGTAATTTCTGAGCTCAACCTGCTTCCACTACAGACAATCTGCCTTCGCAGTCTAAGAGTTCAACCGCAATCGTAAACTACCTCCTGCCAAATGAGATTACACAGCTCATACATTATTGCATTTAATTCTCACTGCCATTATTCCCATTTTATAGGCGAGAGACTTCAAGAGACAAATATAATTAAAGTGCAAAACATAGATCCAGCAATGCTAATATGCTAATATGCTCAAGGAAGGCTGTGACTCTGAAGATTACATCTCCCATCTCTCAAAGTAAAGAATGCACACCCAGACAGACAAGCATCCACTGATGCAGTGTCTCTCCTTGCTCTGGGGGCAGGGTGGCCTCTGGGTCAGAAGACTCTGTGAGGCAACACCCTTTTGGAAAGGAGTCTGGCCCTATCATTGCAGCTTTAAGCATGCAATTTCCCTTCCGGAAAGACATCAAGAAACACTTGCACATGTGTATGAGAAGCCACCACAGAGATGTTCATCGTAGCATTGTCAGTGATAGGCAAAACCTGGAAACCTCCCTAATAGCCCCTGAAAGGAGAATAGTTCAATAAACTACCCTTCCTTCATCTTATAATAATGTGTGTGGATGTATAGAAAAGTGTCTGGTAACAGCAATACCCCTGAAACTCTGGCCTTATATGTAATATTTTCTTTATTGTATTTTAATGCTACTTGATATATGCAAAAGTTTATATGTAATATACCAAGTATAAAGCACATGGTAATGAACACCAGTGAACTCACCATTCAAGAACTATTAACCTTACTGATAATTTGCATATGCCTGTGTCCCCAGCTCATAGTGCTGACTTCCTCCCCTTCCATCCCAACCACAGATGACCACCATCCCACCTATTTATCATTGCTTTAAAAATATGTATAGTACTACTATATTGAAACATACTACATGTATGTTTAAACAATACATTGCTTAGTTTTGCTTGTTTTCAAGCTCAATAAATATATCACTGTCATCTTCTGGAACTTGATTTTTTCCCCCTTCTTGGTATTATGTTGTCAAGATGCAGCCACTCTGTTACAGTTAACTGAAGTGCATTCATTTTCACAGTTGCACCTGCTCTGTGATGTGAACATACCACCGTTTATTTATCCATCCTTCTGCCGAAGGCCATTTAGGTTGTTCGTAGTTGTTTGCTGTAGTGACCCTGCTGCCACCCGCATTTTTACACATTTCTCATGAGTGTGTACTCCAAGGTGAGTTTGCTGGGTCATAGGTGTGCAAATGCTCAGATTTGAGGGAGAATGTCAAATTGTTTAAAAGGTCTGTTAGGTGTCCGATTTTTGCATCCCTTTTATTACTTTTATTTATTTGATTAAATGTCCAGCCCCACGGGCAGCCACCCTCCTGCCCGCAGCGCCCACTCGCCTTTGTTCTCCGGTTTGAGCTCCTCCTGCAGCAGGTCTGTTTGCCGGTTGCCCAGCACGAAGGCGAGGAAGGAGAGGATGAGGGCGTTGAGGATGCCGATGATGGCCAGGATGTACGCCCAGCGCACGGAACAGTCCCCCAGGGAGTACTTCCCCGTCTTGGCCCCGCACATGTCTCGGATCGTCTCGGCGTCCCAGCCGTCAGGGAAGATCATGCAGCCCAGGACGAGGCACAGAGCTGAGGGGCGCGCGCCGGGCCCACCGCCGCGGTCAGGAGGGAAGGAAGGAAGGAAGAAGAGAACAATACTCCCTGGCGTCCAAGGGCACGGAATCCCCTTCAGTCTGGGCCCCGGCACCCCCGCCCCGCCCACCAACCCAACCAAGGGCTCCCAAACCACTTCCGGGGCGGGGGGAGGAGACAAAGACAGACACACAGACACGCAAGGGTCTGGGATGGGCCTCCTGCTCCAGCAACAGAAACTTTCTGGAACCCTCAATGCCCTTTCTCCACCATCAAATCAACTCTTCCTCCGGGAAGCCCTGCGGGAAATATGAGAAAATAGCAAAGCACAGCCACCGCCTTCAGCTCCCTCTGGCATCCCGGCCATGTTTTCTCTCTCCCAACCTGACCGTTCTTCCCTGTTTTTCTCATCCAGTCACCTGATGTTTGTCGGGCGCCATTTTCCTTCCATTCGAGGCGCTGGAAGCTCGCTCTCGTGCCCGCGGGTGAGCACTGCGCTCGGAGCACACGCCGTGCAGTGCCAGCCACAGGGCTCAGCCCGGTCCTTCCCCTCGCTCAGCTGTATGATTTGGGGGGTGCTGCCGAGCCCAAATGGGCCCGTTTCTGTGCAATGAACACCACAGTACTTACCTCACGGGTGGAACCGGGATTAAATGACGCAATGCCTGTAGGACACCAAGCACAGTGCCAGGCGCTCACTCAGGTAGCACTGAGGGCATTCCGCGTGCCAGGCACTAGCCCGGCGTGTGTGTCTGTATGGGGGGGAGGGACTTGGATTCCAGCCTCAGGGAGCTTGTGTGTAGCGGGGGACAGGTACATTATAGCATTAAGAAGGCTGGAGCTCGGCGATTTTCTAGATGTGTGACTCTGAGCGAATTCCTTCACCTTTGAGCCTCAGTTTCCTCATCTGTAAAATGGGGACAATGATGGCATCCTCTCGTGGTGGCAAAGATAACAGAAGGCAGCAAATGTAAAGTGCTTGGCACAGTAAGTCCCGGATAAATCTTGGCTGATATTATCAAAACTAGTCATAACGAGAAAAATAATCATTACACAAATAAGAAAATAATGGGGAAGGTGGTTTCAGGTGAGGGCAGAGACAGAGAAAGGGAGAAGAGGCAGGCCAAGAAGGGCCTTGGGAATGAATGCCCTAGGCAGCATCCTGTCCCTGCGGGTTTAGCGACCCGCCTCTAGCAAACGCGCCCGCGAGCCTCAGCCAATCAGCACGCTGCGTCCCCGCGAGCCTCAGCCAATCAGCACGCTGCGTCCCCGCGAGCCTCAGCCAATCAGCACGCTGCGTCCCTGCGGTAACCGGGAGCGGCTCCGAAGGAGCGCACGCGGCGTCGCAGGCCCAGCAGAACCACCCGGACTCCGGGCCTTCCCTGCTGCGGAGCTCCGACCAGGGCTGCGGACCCTGACCCCGGCTGCGGGCTGGAGGTGGCCTCCCAATGTCTGCCTGAGTCGGGGTTGACATGTCTGAGTCCTGAAGGTTCCACGGGGCTCTGGTTGGAACTGTGGGGACCTTGACCCGCGCCAGGGCTACAGGGTGCTTAACCTGGGTTTTAGATGACAGCTATGGCACACGGCGGGTGGCAGTCAGTTCTGCCCACTGTCCCTATGTCCTGTCTAGCCCCAGGGTGGGAAGGGGCCCTGGGTTTCGCCGGCTCCCTACCACAGCCACCGTCAGAGGGCGTGCGCTTTAGGCCCCAGACTCCTCCGGCCTCCAGCGGAGGGGCCCCTCCCCAGCGTGACGCCGCAGGATGTCCCCCAGTCCTGCCCCCCGCCCCCAGTGCCGCCCCTCATCCAGATGCTGCGCTGCGGCCACACACGCGCCAGAGCTGGGCTTCCCGCCTCTCCACCGCTACCACTGCTTAAGGGCTGGGGAAAGGGTTCCAGGCAAAGGGAACGGCAAATGCAAAAGCCCTGGGGCGGGAATGAGCTGGGCGAGTTAAAGAATTCGACCATTTGAAGATGCCCATCAGACACCCGCGTGCAGAGGCACGTCGGGAGCTAAGCGGAAACCGCAGGCTGGATATGGCAATGTGAGCGCTGCGCAAACTGAAGAGAAGACTTCGCACTGCGCCGGGCGCGCTCCAGCCTTAACAGGGCGGTAAGAGGATGAGGAGCCGCCTATTCCTACCCCTTGCCAAAGCCTCCGGGACCCTATCTGGAGGAGGAGGAGGGTCAAACGCCCAAGATGGGGCAAGGGAAAGGAGTGATCTCGGCGTCCCAAGGGCCCTTCCCCAGGCGGGTATGCTGCCGCCTTCCCATCCCGGGCTCTATGTCTCCAGCTGGAGGCAGGGGTGGGGAAGAGCCTGGGGAAGGCATCCCCGTCTCCATGGAAACAGCGCTGTATCCCGCGCTCCTAGACGGTGGCTCCCGGCTCCTGCGGGCGGCCCCACTCCCCTCCGCAACCCGGGCACTGAGGCCTCAGTGAGGTTTTCTTCCCTTTGCACTGCGCCTGCACGCTCTCTCTGCCTGTCTCTCTCTGCCTGTGTCTCCATTCCTTTCTCGTGTCTTCTCCACCCTGTTCATCTTTCTTTGCATCTGTCTCTTCCCCTCTGCCTGTGTCTGTCTCTCCCCTCCCTACATTGTGCTCGAATCTGTCTCCACCCTCCCTTTTCCCCTTTGTTTAGCTCTCCCAGCATCTCTATTGCTTTCCTCCCCTTTCTCCCTTCTCTGTGTCTATCCCCTCACCCTGCCCACTCTGTTTCTGCCTCTCCCTTCCTCCATTCCACACACAAATTTCTGAGTGCCTGTAATGTGCCAGGCACTGTGCAGCGTGCTGGGGACACAGGCAGGTATGGTGTCTGTCCTCAAGAGCAGAGGCACGTGGGGAGGAATGAAATCAACAAGTCAACACACAGAATAGTTAGACATGCCAAGGAGTGCCCCAAGGGTAACAGACTAGGAGCTGAGACCCAAAATGACAGGCGTGGTCAGAGAAGGCTGGGACAGTAACTCTGCCTCCTTTGCTCTGCAGGGTTTCAGATGGTGGCTATGAGGTCCCAGAGGCCACCCTGGGAATGAGAAACACCCAGAGGTCAAACAAATAGAGAAAAGCCAATCAGCTGGGTTTCCCTGGTCCTGAGGGAAGAGAGGAAGAGACCAGCGGGGATAGTTTAGGGCAGAGAAGTGCCCAAGAAACTCCCCATGAGGAGACAGAATGCCTATGGACAAGGCAGGCTTCAGCATTCCCATTTGCTGGATGAAGAAACTGAGGCTGAGGTAATTGCATTCCAAGTTCAAGCCTCTTTTGGAAATAATGAGCTGGTGGAAGAGCCAGCTGCTGCTGGGGCACAGGCAGGGGTGCAGGCTACAGCGTGGGACAAGGTTCCTCAGCCTCAGTGCTTCTGACATTCAGGCCAGGTAAGTAAGTCTTCATGGTGGGGGCTGTCCCGGGCGCGTGGGATATTTAGCATCGTCCCTGGCCTCAACCCACCACATGCCAGTGGCACCACCTCCCCTAGTCATAATAATACAAAGTCTCCAGACATTGCCACATGTCCCCTGGGGGGAGGATTTTTCCTGGTGAGAACAACTGGTGTAGGGGCCAGGGCCCTAGGATGGGCATCTCCATTCAGTTACCCCAAAGTCCGCTGACTTTCCCTGCTCCAAGCAGCCGGGAGTTGTTATGACAAAATTAAGATGAAGAATACTATTATTAATAATGTGATAATAATGTTAAAAAATAGCACCGAGTGCTTAACTCTTCAGGGTGCTGAGCTCCTGACATTTGTTATCTCATTTATTCCTATAAAAAATCCATGAAGTGGGAAAACAACGTCACCCTCGTTTTATAGATGAGGAAACTGAGGCTCAAAGGAACCAAGTATTTTATCCAATGTCACACAGCTAGTAAGTGGTGGGATCTGTACTCAAACTTAGGTCCTTACTTGATGTTTTTCTTTGAATAAACTTACTTTTTAAGTTAGGTACATATACTAAAAAAGCAAATTTAAATCACTTTCAAAGAAAAGGAAACCAGGATTATTTGCCATAAATAGAAAGACACTAAATGTAAGTATAATGAAATCAAAACAATGTTCTCAGATGCTAGCTAGACACTTTGCCTACCAATTGCTCTGAGCCAAGGGCTGATCCCTTTGTTTAAAAGACCTGTTAGTAAGAACGAGAGGAGTTAAAGACGTATTAGCACCAAACTGAGACTTTCCCCTTGCAATTACGAAATAAATTGGAAATGGAGCACTGTGCTCACCACTGGCTGCCGGATGCCATCCTGCCTGTGTCCCATAATTGAGAAACATGTCCCACTTTGTCCCGCCTCCACAACAGGCTCAACTCTACCCTTTACACTGCAATTTTAGCCTTTTTTTTGCCTCTCTGGGCCTTAATTTCTTCATTTGTCAAAGGAGGATCATGACATCTGCCCAACCCATTTCACAGACCTTTTATGAGAATCAAATGAGAGATGAGAAGTAGCATGGCAAATTCCTAAGGATGGAGTGAGGGCAGGTCATGGTGACTCTTGGCACAGTGCAGTGGCTGGGTGCAGTGGCTCACACCTGTAATCCCAGAATTTTGGGAGACTGAGATGGGAGGATCGCTTGAGGCCAGGAGTTCAAGACTAGCCTGAGCAACATAGTGAGACCTCGTCTCTACAACAAATAACCTTAAAAAATTTGCTGGACATGGTGGTACATACCCATAATCCCAGCTACTCAGGAGGCTGAGGCAGGTGGATTGCCTGAGCCCAGGAGTTCAAGGTTAGAGTGAGCTATCATCATATCACTGTACTTCAGCTGGGCAACAGAGCAAGACCCTATCTCCTAAAAAAAAAAAACCACTGTAAAAAAATCTTGGACAAAAGAATTAAGACTTTTTCCAGATATTTAAGAACTGTAATGGTGGCTGCATCGGGAAGGAGGTATGCATATTTTTTACCACGTAACAATGGCAGAGACAAATAGTTTCCTATGGTATCTATTCATCCCTTCTTCCTTATTATTAGAATCTCGAATTTTTAGCTAAGACTT